GTTAAGTGAGGTGTTTGAATAGGTTTTATTTTCTAACACTTCTCACTCGTAAGAATACTAGTTTAATCTAAAATTATATACTAATCAATTTGTATGGTAAAAGGAATGGTGAGTTCTATATATACCAGATTGTGGGAATTATCTTTAAAATTTTAATCTCTTTAGCCACTCTAAGACAAAATTCGAGATACCCAAAAACATGTACACTGCACATATTATGTGTCTTAGTAGTTGGACTTTGACCACCTCCCTCACATATTATGTGTATTTCTACTTGGGCAAGAAAATCTATTTCAATTCAATGCGAAGACTTAATAATGATGGACAACGTTGCATGCAGAGAGCAGTGGTGTTGTGTGGTGGAATCCAACGAAGCATTTTGTTAGTAGTGAACCAATTAGGCCAACTTGTGGAGGAACTATAGTCAGTGTTTCCGGTAGAATACAGAGAATGGTTAATGGGTGGTCAATTTTGACGACAAACAAGTAAAGATTAGCACCCTGTATTGCAATCTAGCTTCTGGTTTTGGAGGTACAATATATCAAGAAAGCAGAGGGAGTTCTTTAAATGTGACAACCTTGTTGCAAAAAAAAAAAAAAAAAAACAGAGACAATACAGTAGGAAATCTGGTGAATGAAAAACAACTCACTGCATAATTTCATTAAGGAAGAAGCATAAAAATAGGACAATCACAACCACTTAACAAACTTGCTGAARACTAGTTCAGCAATGCTCCAACTAATAACAATCTTCCTAAAAACTAGGACAGCTGACCAACAAATAACAAAAATAAAGATTTTTTCAACAAACCCTCTCTTAAACTAATGTCAACACCAGAATCCCCTCAAATGAGTCTTCTAGAAAAACAGCTAATTTCAGGGGCTTAGTAAAAACATCAGCAACTTGGTCCTCACATCTACAATAAACGAGATCAATGACTTCATCCTTTGTGAGATCATGCAAGAAGTGATACATCACATCTATGTGCTTGCATCTTCCATGAAGAACAGGATTTTTGGAGAGCTTAATTGCTGAGTTATTGTCACAGCAAATCTGGGTAGAACCCGATTGCTCAAACTGCATCTCCTTGAGAATTTTTCTCAACCAAAGTGCTTGACAACCACAAGAAGCTGCTACTACAAACTCGGCTTCTGTTGTTGACAAAGTAACTAATGACTGCATCTTTGATGACCACGAAACAGCTGCAGAACCCAACATAAAAACATATCCAGATGTGCTTTTTCTATCATCCAAATCTCCAGCATAGTCACTGTCTATAAATCCAATCAAGCATGATTGTTCACCCTTCTTGTATAAAAGCCCGAGTTCAGTAGTACCACGCAAATACCGAAGAATCCTCTTTGCAGCTAGAAGATGAATTTCCTTTGGTTGCTCCATATACCTGCTAATAAGACTTACAGCATACATTAAATCAGATCATGTTGTTGTCAAGTACATTAAACTTCCAACCATTTGCTTGTAAAGAGTGTTGTCAACCCCTTTTCTTGTTGGATTTTTCACAAGCTTCAATCCTGTCTCAACTGGTGTAGTGGCTGAGTTACAGTTCTTCATATCAAACATGTCCAAAATTTCTTGGGCATATTTCTTTTGAGACACAAAAATTCCAGCATCAGATTGCACTACTCTTAGACATTTCAAACTCAAGCATCATGGATTGTTTAAAGTTTTCAAGCATTGCTCTATCATTTCTAGAGTATATCAAATCATCTACATATAAGCACACAATAAGCAATTTTCCTTCATTTGCAATTTTTGAGTAAAGCATATGCTCGTATGGGCACTTTTTGAAACCTTCCTTTAAAAAATAATAATTTATACGACTGTACCAAGCTCTAGGTGCTTGTTTTAGTCTGTATAGAGCCTTTTTTAAATTGTAAACTTTATGCTCACTACCGAGTTTCACATAACTAGGAGGTTGATAGATAAGTACCTCTTCTTTTAAATCTCCATGTAAAAATGCAGATTTCATGTCCAATTGGAAAATGGGCCATGAGTTTTGTGCTGCTAAAGCAATCATCAATGTGATTGTATCATGTCTGGCTACAGGAGCAAATACCTCTTTGTAGTCCACACCAAACTCTTGCTTATAACCTTTGACCACCAAACGCGCCTTGTACTTATCAACTTTGCTATTCTCCTTCAACTTCATCTTGTAAACCCACTTAACACCAATCGTCTTTTGTCCCTTTGGAAGGTCTGTCAATTCTCAGGTTTTATTTCTTTCAATAGCTGCAATCTCTTCATCCATGGCTTTCTGCCATTTTTCTTCTTTGATAGCAACTTCAAAAGCTGTAGGATCACAATTTGAAAATAGGGAAAATGTGTAAGTGGATCATCAATATCATTTATGTTGGGTACCTCATAGTCTGACATCCATGTTGGTCTTCTTCTGACACGTTGAGAACGAGAACCTGCTGCAACATCAAGTTGTTCATCAGATTCTGTTGTTGGTGGTGAAGTTTCAGAGGCTGTAGGGATGTCATTTTGAGTATTATGAGGGGCTGGAATTGTTGGAGCATTTTGTTATTGCTGCTGTTGCGTTTCATCTGCATCTCCCTCATCAAAATCTGTTGGAAGTTGCTGTCCACCTGTATTGTTGCTCCATAACCATGTCTTTTCTTCATCAAAAATGACGTCACAACTAATAACAATTTTCTTGGTGATAGGATTATACAATTTTTAGGCCTTTGAATGATCACTAAAACCAAGAAAAATGCATTTTTCACCTTTGTCATCTAACTTTCTTCTTCTTTGATCTGGAACATGGGTGTATGCTATACACCCGAACACATGAAAATGATCTACAACTGGTCTATTCCCACTCCATGCTTCTTTAGGAGTTATATTTTGAACAGCTAGTGTGGGACTTCTATTCAAAATATAAACACTGCAACTAACTACTTCAGGCCATAAACTCTTAGGAAGACCACTTCTTTGTTGAAGGCTTCGCACCAGATTAAGAATCGTTCTATTTTTCCTCTTGCTTACATTGTTTTGCTAAGGTGTATAAGCTGTGGTTAGCTGTCTTTTAATTCCATGTTTGCCATAAAAATTAGCAAACTCTTGCGAGTTGTACTATCCACCTTGGTCAGTACGTAAAATCTTAATTGGATTGCCAACTTCATTTTCAGCTAGTGCTTTAAACCTTTGAAAGGCTGCGAAAGCCTTCGACTTTTCCTGCAAAAAATACACCTAGGTTTTTCGGCTAAAGTCATCAATAAATGATATGAAATATCGTTTACCTCCATTTGATGTTGGTATAATTGGCCCACACAAATCAGAATGTACTAGTTCCAGTGCCTTCTTAGCCCTCCAAGTTTCCTTTTGGAAAAACATCTCTGTGTTGTTTGCTAACAACACATTCCTCGCAGATTTCTGAAGGAGACTCAAATTCGAGAAGGCCTGCCACCATGTTTTTCTACTGCAAGGTCTTCAAACCACCAAAACTGAGATGACCATAGCGAAAATGCCATAGCCATGCTATGTCTTTTAGTTTTGCAGCGAGACATTTGTGGGTAATGTGATGGAGATACAAAGGAAACATCCGATTTGTTGTCATTTGTACTTGGGCAATTAAACCCAACTTTTCATCTTGGACTCGACAAACTCCATCCTTAATTGAGATCTCATATCCCTTTTCTTGAAGCTAGCCAACACTAAGCAGATTAGCTTTTAGATTTGGAACAAATAATACATTGGAAATATAATGAAACTTTCCTTTGGTTTGAATTATAACACTTCCTTTTCCCAAAACAGATACTCTAGAGTTATCACCAAATTTAACAGTATCTCAGAATGATTCATCCAAATCAGAGAAAATTGATTTGTCTCCACACTGGTTGTTGCAGCCCGTATCCAAGTACCATAAATTCGGGTGAGTTTCCTCCATAGTATGACACACCATTAGGAGATAAACTTCTTCTTTTTCCTTCTCTGCAAAGCTAGACCTCTCCCCTCGATGTTTATTTAAATTTGTACGGCATTCTGAGCAATAGTGACCATACCTATGACAACGATAACATTCCACCTTGGATTTGTCAGCTGACTTTGGTTTAGATCCTGTTGAACTCTGAGCATCATGAGCCTTCCAGTTTCCTTGAGATTCAACACCTTTCTTGTCTCCTTGTCTCTGGTGTGTATTCTTGCCTTTCCATGTCCTCTTGAGCTTGTTGCTGCCTGCAGTGCTTGTTCTTCATTGTCTTGCTAGGTTATTTTCTGCTCATGAACCAACAAAGAGTTTTGCAATTCATCTATTAAAAGAGTATCAATGTCTTTAGACTCTTCAATAGAACAAATCACAAAATTAAACTTGGGTGTCATTGAACGAAGGATCTTTTCAACAATGGTCACATCCTCTAGCTTCTCTCCATGAATCCGCATCTTGTTTGCAATTGTCATTGTCCTCGAAAAGTACTTTGAAACTGACTCCCCTGACTTCATTTGAAGAACCTCAAACTCTCTACGAAGAGCTTGGAGTTGCACACGCTTCGCCCTTGTGTTCCCTTGATACTTCTTCTTCATGGAGTCCCATATTTGCTTGGAGGTGTCCTTGCAAAGAATTGTTTCCAAGATTGAACGATCAATATCTTGAAAGAGATAATTTTTTGCCTTTAAATCTTTCAGCTTTTGTGCCTCCTGTTCTATCTTTTGTGCATCTATCAAAACAACTCCAGCTGTTGCCTCTTTTATGCCACTTTCAACGACCTGCCAATATTCTTTGGACCTCAAGAAATTCTCCATCAACAAGCTCCAATGATCATAATGACCATCAAAGCGTGGGATTGCAGGTTGAACAAAATTTTCAGAAGCCATAGAAATTGCTGCTGCAATGGAAGAAAGAGTTGTTGTTGCACTCTTCCTGTTTCACTTTTGTGGCTCTGATACCACTGTTGCAAAAAAAAAAAATCAGAGGCAATATAGTAGGAAATATCTGGTGAATGAAAACCAACTCACTGCATAATTTCATTAAGAAATGGCCTTTAAATAAGCACCTACATCAACAGATAGAAGCATAAAAATAGGAACCAGTAACCACTAAGCTAAAGATTTGGTAAAATCACAACCACTTAACAAACTTGCTGAAGACTAGTTCAGCAATGCTCCAACTAATAACWATCTTCCTAAAAACTAGGACAGCTGACCAACAAATAACAAAAATAAAGATTTTTTCAACAAACCTAACCAATAGGAATAGTTGTAATTAGTTGGAATATATGGTCGGAGTGGAGACGAGCATTCCATGGTACACTAGCACATATGGTCGGAGTGGAGAGTGAAAAATCTCCAGGAGTTCTTGCCGTATACATGCATTCAACTCTAATCATGTTCCCATCTCACTTTTCAAATAGATCCATACAATAGTGTATATTTGTTGTTTATTGAAGAAGATGATTTAGTAAAATAAATCATGGTTAAGGATAAGGAAGTGGAGATTCGTGATGGTTAGTGGGACTTGTTGCAGGAAAGAAACCTTGTCGAGATCCCGTCAACATGGATAATGGGAATCTACCATAAAACACCTATTCAACTGACCACAAGTTCCACAACATAATTTGCTGCGCACGCTCCTTTTTAACTTTGGACCCAGTTACTTGGTCAATACAGTTAAGCTATGGTTGCTAATTACATTTTACCATTTTTTGTGTGGAATTTGAGAGATATTACGTGGAAGACAGAAGTGTTTCCTTAAACGGGGTTAATTGATGAAGTTTCCAACTATTGCTGAAATCTCTCCTAAAAGTTTAGTAATTGCAATCACCTCTCCTAGAATTTCTGACATGGCATCCCTGGGTTTGTCATAACTCGGAGAAGTGTAGGTGAGCTGGTAGAACACTGGTTTGCAGGTTAGAGTAGGAGGAATTGGTGTCAAGGAAAGAAGAAGCCAGATAAAACGGTGTCTGATAGAGGGAATTCACAGGAGATCCCCCGAATGTTTTAGACGTGGGAAGATGGTTCTTGAACTTCTATAACAGTGGAAACTGAAATAGAGATAGACTGAATGCTCAAAGAGGGTTCAATGACTTGATTCATTAACCAAGTATTTATATGTATATATAGTTGTTTATAAAGAATTTGGCACAGTACAGAAACAAACTATGTTGAGAAAATCTTTAAAGTAAAGAGCAGAAATCAAATTATCAGAAAGAAAAAATTCTTCACTGAATAATTAAGAGAAAATCAACCTCAAAAAACTCTCTTAGCCTTCCCTTAGCTACTCTTTATATAGGCTTACACCCTTATGGCTCTTACAAGAAAGTTTCCTAATCTATGAAAACACTCCATAATAGGGTCCTACTAAAACTCTTCAAAAATAAAATTCTAATTGAACAAAAATTTGGAAATCATGATCTAATGCTAACTTGATAATTTTAAACTAAAATAGAAGTCATGCGTTGACACTAGCTTGGTAAATTTGAACTAAGATATAAATACTGTACTAGCGCTAACTTGGTAAGTTAGATAGAAGTTCTACACTGGCACTAACTTGGTAAATTCGAACATAGAAGTTTCATGCAGGCGATAACTCGGTAATTGATTACTCGGTTGGATTAGTAACGTCATCGTCATCCAATCTTCTTATGTGTCTTGGAGTGGTCTCAACTTACATAAAACTTATTGGCCTTCTCCTGTATTGCATCATACTCCCCGGGTTGGAGAGAATCCGTCTTCAAATTCAAATCATCATTTGACTAATCGCCAACATATGGTACCAAGTGTTTGACATTGAACAGATCATGGGTACGTATGACTTGGTAGCTTTATTCTATAAGCGTTCTCATTGATAATTTCAACTATCTCATATAGTCCAACCTTCTTTGGTGTCAACTTTCCACATTGCCTAACCAATAAGTGGTCATCTGTTAAAATGGCCCAAACATAGTCTCCCGCATCAAATACCCCTTTCCTCCTTTTTCTATCAACATGTTGTTTGTACTTAGCATTAGCTACCTCCAACTTGTTATGGACTTCTTTCAAAGATTCTTAAACTTTTGTACCATATCATCAGCTTTGCCATGAATTTGGCCTGACCAAGTACAAGTAGCAAGATCAAGGATGCTACGAGGGTTGGCCCTAACTCCTATTTTTTGACCTATTGTAGGCAAACTCAGCTTGTGCTAATAAGAGATCCCATTATCGTTTATGGCAAGTTGCAAGGGTTCTCAAAAAATTTCCCAAACTCGTATTGACTATTGTTGTTTAGCCATCTATTTGAGGATGATATAAACTACTAAATTGTAATGAAGTACCCATTAGCATCCGAAGACTTCTCCAAAAGTGTGAAATGAATTTGGAGTCTCTATCTGAAGTAATCGAAGATGGTAAGCCATGGTGTTTGACAATCTCGTTGAAGAATAAACGAGCAATAAGTGAGGCATCCATTATCTTCCTACATGCCACAAAGTGAGCCATTTTTGAAAAATGGTCTACGACCACCAATATAGAATCTACTTGTTACTAGGTACATGGCAATCAAAGAAGAAAATCTATAGATATATCTATCCAAGGTCCTTTAAGAACTAGGAGGGGCATGTATAATCCAACATTGGTTACTGTCCCCTTTGAAACAAGGCATATGTGACAATGTTCCACAAACCTTGTGATGTCTCTCGTTATCTTAGGCCAAAAGTAACTTATCGTCCCCTTCAAAGCTCTTTGACGATTTTCAGCCTCACGAGCAATTGAGTATGCATAAGTGGGTCCCCTTGAATAGGAAGCCATCATATACCTCAAAGTATGTCCTTCTACTTGCTTGCACATCCTCCATGATTCCAAGAAAATAAAAGTCAATGAAAAATAATTCAAGGAAAGTATGAAACCCCACTAACTGTGCGTAGAATGTGAATAACATGGCTCCCCTTCGGCTGAGTGAATCTGTAACTTGATTGTGCACACCTGACTTGTGTTTTGGCACAAATGAATATTCTTAGAGGTATGCTGCCCATTTAGCATGTCTTGTATTCAACTTATGTTGGCCTCCAATATGTTTAAGTGCCTCATGATCCGATTATAGGATGAACTCTTTATAGATGAGATAATGTTGCCAACACCGTAGCGCTTGCACCACTGCATAGAATTCTACATCACAAATTGAGTAGTTGAGGTGATCCATTCTACTTCTCAATATAATAGGCTATGAGTTGGTCACCTTTGCTGAAAACAACATCGTCTCCAACCTTAAAGACATCACAATCAACATCAAAGGGTTACTCGAAGTTGGGAAGGGCTAGCATAGGTGCAACTGTCAATCATGCCTTAATCTTAATGAAGGCCCTTTCTGCTTCGTGCTCCAGTAAGTGTTTTGGGGATGGGCCACTCAACCATGACACAAATCGTCTCTGGGTTGATAGAAACTCCTTTCCTTGAAATGGCATACACAACGAATAAGACCCGATCTATGTTAATGATACACTTCTTCATAATTGCATAAATTTGCTCCCTGTGCAAAGTCATAAGTATATCTTGAAGATGTAACAAATGAGTGTTCATATCAATGCATGGTGCATTTGACAAGCCGAATGGCATCACTAGCCATTCATACAAACCATCCCTCATTTTGAACGTTGTTTTCCATTCATCACTAAGAGGAATTCTAATTTAATAGTAGCCTGATTTCAAGTCCAACATAGTGAACACCTTGGCCCCAGAAAGCTAATCCAACATGTCATTTAAGCCTGGAATTGAAAATCGGTATTTGATGGTTATCATATTAATTGCCTGGATGTCAACACACATCCTCAAAATGCCATTCTTTTTTGGCACTAATAAAGAGGGAATCGTGCATGGACTCATGCTATTTCGTATGAACCTCTTAGTAATCAGTTCATCTACTTGCTTTTGTAACTCCTCATGTTCAATGGGACTCATTCTATAATGGGCCTCGTTGGGGAGACTAGCACCCGAAGTTAAATCTATGCAATATTGAATATCCCTTAATGCTGGTAATTTTGCTAGTAAGTCCTCGGGAAACACATCACTAAATTCATCAAGCAAAGGCCTCACCTCCTCTAGAACCTCCACACCTTTCAACTTAACCCCCTTATCAATTAAAGCATACAAAACACCTATCTCTTTTAAGGAACTTGTGAATTCAGTCATGGAAAAAGCGCTAGAACCCTCCCCGAGTTTCGGTTTAGGTATAGTTTCTTATGGTGGACATAAGATCAGTTTTTTCCCTTTAAACTCAAAAGAGTAATTGTTCTTTCATCCATCATGGACTATGTAGTGGTCAAATTGCCATAGGCGCCTAAGTAGCGAAGGGCAAGCATCCATACATACAACATCACACCACACACGATCACTATAATTATTGCCAATAGAAAAGCTCACTAGACACCGTTGTGTAACTGAAACCTCGTTCTTTCTATTTAGCCATGCAAGATTGGAGGGGTGAGGGTATTGTTGAGTTTTTAGGTTCAACTTGCGAATGGCTACTTCCGCTATAACATTCTTACAACTCCTACTATCAATTACAAGTCTTGCTACCTTCCCACCCATAGTACACGTAGTGTAGAAGATATTATTTCTTAACCAATTCGATGATTCATTCGTAGGAGTTAGGAATGACCGTTGCATCACCAAGGCCTCTCACACATCTCCATACACCATTTCTCCCACTAAGGTTTCTTCATTATAAGAGTCAAACACAGGTGGGGTTGAATAGTCAAATGCTTATAATTGGATTTCACTCTCATCTTCTACAAGCATCGGCTCTTTTCTTTTATCACCCCTTGAACATTCAACAAATTTATGCCTGTTTCACCACAATTAAAACACTTCAGTCCAGGTGGATCCACCTGGTTTTGATTAGGTCCACATCTTTAGTTTTGGTTCAGCCCATGAGACTGTGGCTGGGTAGTTGAATTTAGAGGGAGGTTGGAATTACTACGTAGGGGTGGTCTAGCCACATTACATTGGGTTCGACTCAATTGATTAGGCTGGTTGCTCTGTCTTTCTATGGTTAGAGCATGTTGGTGTGCCAAAGAAACATTAT